CTCCTCCTCCAAATGGCAAACCAACAACTTTCACAAGAAAGAGCTTTCACAAGCCAAAAAATAAATCGATATTTCCATGCCTCGTCAGACAATAATTAATATGCTCAAGTTTTTCCTGAAAATCAGAAAAAAAGAAATGAATGCTAGACATTCTGTACAAAAGTATTCGAGCCACATGGTGGCTTTGAAAGCATAAGTTCCGACACTCAACTGTTTAGTGGCTAAAATTTATAATGAATTCAGTTCTAGAATATATGAACCTGATAATTACGAAAGCTTACTGTTGGTTTTGGCGTAATTATAAAACACAATAATCCTTACTATAAAATCACAAGGACCCTTTCACAAACCACGACAGTCAACACACCCTCCCTACCTACACATACATTTTCTTAGCAAACACCATCTACCTGCCTATCGAAGGTTTAATTTGTCAAAGAGAAACAAATATAAAGAAGTATTCGTAATTTTGAAAATAATTATTTTCTATTACTTCTTATTTTTCCATTTCTGTTCTTCAGTTAGACCATAGTGTAATTTTCTTAACTAAACCATAACATTAAATCATATCTAAATTCCTTAAATCCTATATCATAAAGCAAAATCCCAGGTGACAGTTGCATTTACAGAAACTGTCAAAATACATTTAGAAAAAAAAAATAAAAAAATATCCCACTCGTTACTGCAGAGAACTTCAGATGAGATTCATACCTGAATGTTCTCAAGCATGGATTGGCCAAGATTCTTCAAGCTAACCATCAAATTCTGATCTCCCGTCTCACCCTTACTCGTCCCACAAGAACACTCACACCCATCGCCATTTAACACCACACCCACATTCCTCTCATCAACTTCTCCATTTAAAACTTTCCCATCCACAGAGACACTTTTTTTCTCTGATGTTCCCTCTCCACCATTCCTTCCAAACTTCCACAACCATTGAAATTTACTCAACAGTACTTTCCTATCCTTCAAAGTACCCGTCCCCACCCTCTCCAAAGACTCGTCATTGTCCATATTTTGAGAAGACAATCCTTCTGGCAGGTCTGAGACAGGAAGATTAGGAGAACATTCCGAATTAGTCACGCATGACACATAATCATTTTCATCCAAAGATGAGTTCGACCCGACACTACTCCTCCCACTCTCATTTTCATTGTAACTGCTTCCAGTTATTGGTCCCACCTGATCCGAGAAACTGGAAGAGTTCTCTTCAATAGACACATTGTAATTATTCTTGTCCGCAATTACATCTTCAACACTACTAACCTCAATCGACTCCTCGGGAACCTCGTTATTATCCTTATTCTCATCCTCATCTGAACCGAGCTGCCGTGCAAGATCATGCAACAAACTCCTCCTAACAGACGGCCTATCGATTTTGTTCTGCTCGTTTTTCTTCTTCGACGGGGTTGGGTCGGATTCTGTCCTCGAGAGGCGGAGCCTCACTCTCTCTGACCAACCCTTTTTACGGTAAGGAACTTCCTCTGCCTTCTTCTTTTCATCTTCTTCTTCCTCCTTTCTGTCCTCGTGCAGAACCCTCCACCTTTCTTCCCAGTAGCTATCGGCCACCATGCTCAGCGGAGTCCTGGGAGAGGTCGAATCCAGGGACATAACCGGCACAGAGGCCGAGTAGTTGGACCTCAGAGCCAGTTCGTGAAGTGACTCCGCTTTCTCCAGAAGCTTCTCGATCTTAACATCGTCCGGAAAGTTGAGCAGCCTCTGCAGGCAGGCAGTCGCGTTCTCTGTCGCCAGCAGCGAAGACCTAAGGTGAAGTATCATAGAGACCCCGAACGCGCACACAAAAGCCCCCCTGGCCGACTCAAGAATCTCGAAATTCACGTGCCCACCCAATTTCACATTCTCCCTGGCGAAAATCTCGTCCCACACGGACAAAAGGTCCTCCAGGGAGAACTCGCGGCCGAAGAGCACGCGCAGCCAGCGGATGGCAAAGTACTGCGGCTCGACCCCAAGCTCGACTAAGTGAGCATGGAGAGACGAGTCAGCAATCGAGAGCAAATGGTAGAGGGCTGCGGAGGCCTCGATCACGGGGGGTGAGCCCGAGTGGGGCCCGGAAGGGGAGTGGGAGAAGAAATTTGACATGGAGAGGGCATTGCCGAGGAGGGAGTCGAACATGGCATAAGCATCGTGCTCGAGAAATTTGTTGGACGTGACGATGCCAAGTTCGCCCTCGGCGCCGTATGCATCGCTCAGCTCGATTAGAGTTTGTGTGGTGGGGTCGAGCTCTTCGGGCGTGCGGGCCCTGGCCGGGCTTCCGTTTGGGGTACCGTTTGTGTAGGAGAAGTTGGTCTCACGGAAGGAGAAGGAGTCAAATTTGTCGGGGAAGTGGTTTTCGTGGATTTTGCGGATTTCGGAGAGGCGCTCAGCGTCCATGTGGAGGACGTAGAGAAGGGGAGCTAGGAGCTCATGCATGCCTGGAAACATATATAGATATATGAGGAATGTAAATGCTGAATACAAGTAAAGGGAGACAAATCATTAAAGATACTTGGGTTTTAGTTAGAAGAGGGAAACGTATTAGTTATTAAAGAAATTTACTTTTCTTTTGTTAATTAATTTTGATTTTTTTGTAAAATAAACAAGTTGTCGGATGGTTTCACTCCGGTCTTGTAATTGTGTCATAATAAGTACACCACGGAGCAAAATCACATGACAAATTTTAAGGCGTGTAAAAAGTGAAAAATAGCGGACCCTAGAGGTAAGTTTCTTCTAAAAAGCAAAAGAACTATCCTTTCAGAAGGTGGAACATAAGATTGGTTTCAGTTTGAGAAAACACCTAAGTAATATACTTGCCAAGTACTGATTGAAATTAATAAACATAGACTACATTGAGGTTAGTGTTTCTTTATTTTTTTTCCTTTTATTAGAGTAGAGTACCTTGTCTGTAGCCATATTCTGGATGTCGAAGGCACCATAACAGTAAAACTCGTCTTAATATAGCCTGGCAATCGCTTGCCTGGAAATAACCAGCTCTTTCAGGGTACAAGCGCGTTAAGTCTTGATCAACCATTCTCTCCAGTTCAGCATTTCTGAAGAATCGACCCCACATGCTATCTGAGATACAGAAAAATGACAAACAACACAACCAATTAGAAAATTTTCAGCTTTTGGAACTTGGGTGATCTAGAAATAGGATGGAAAAGTGTAACATATTCCTTAGTGTTGTCCCAAATATAATTCAAGATTGAGAAAAACAAAAAGTACCAAAACAATAGATAACAACAAGTCGGTTCATGCTGATGCATATAATTGAAAATAGGAAAACACAGAAATCCTACATCATCATGATAATTGTAGCTACACTCCTATACTCGAGTGGTACAAGTAAGTGTTTGCTTAGGGTTCGAATTCCGATTCGTTCACTTTCTTTAATTATTATCACAAAACACATACCTTCCAATTCAGCCATGTCATTCATAGTAAAATGAAAAGAACAAGGACAGGAAGTCTACCTGGATTTTGGGACAATGGATTGTCAATGACAAGATCAAGAGAACTCATTCCATCTTTTGGCACATTTGGATCAACTAAAAGCTGTCTCCTCAAAGCAGCATACCTGCATCAAATCATAACTTGGGATTCTACTTAGAGCTGAATTGGATGGCACAATTTGCTTTTCCGGATTACTTCTAGTTTTTATTTCGAAAATGACAACGAGATGATCAAATATTCTGAGATGGTCAAATTACAATTACCACAGGAACCAGCAGGAAGCAGCTAACCACAATATATGATTGCTCAAATGAGAACTATAATTAATTTAATGTAAATTACTCACACCAACTTAATAGAATTTGGGACAAAACAAAGTTGCTTTTTCCTCTTAATCCAAATGAACTGGTCCCAACTAACCAATAATCCGGAAAGCTAATGGTTACCCAATAATATGATGAGATTTTAATGGAATCAGAAACAAATAACACACAACAATCTCTTCAATAGTCAGAAATACCTATATTTGGATGGAAAACGTCAAAGATGACTGCTAGAGAAGTACATATAGACTTAACAAACTTTTTATCAAGGTTATAGGGCTAAATATTAGAGGTCCGGACCAAATCCCAAATTTGGAAAAAGGAACAATACAAAAATCAACAACCTAATAGCAGATTCAATTTCACATACCTCCTCCTAGAATTGGCAGTAACCCGACGAAGATCATCAATTGATGCAGAAGGGCTGGATGGTAAAATCCCCAAATCTATGCGCCATTGTACCCCTCTAAGATCTCCAAAGCGACGCGGGACTCTTGAAGACGCCGCCGTTTCAGTCTTTGCAGCATCTATTGGAACAGTTGACATGTGTTGTGGAGGGTTTTGTCTTCTCGTTCCTGTAACTTTCTCCTTTTGCACTTTTTAGCTCTGCTTTGTTCCCCGCCAATTTAGCTCAATCTTCTCAGAAGTTCGAGGACAAACCCTTCAAGATAATCTCGGAAGACCCCAGAATTTGTTGGAAGATAATGATATTTCACCCTAAAAGGCCAGAAATATCCAATCTTCCGGCCTAGGTGCTGAAAAAGTTTAGAATTGCTAAAATCGGCGAAGACCCATGAGTGCGAAACCCATCACGATCATCTCTGTTTGTGAAACGATTGGATCTCCGCAGACCCTTACAAAAGAAACTTTGGAAGAATTAAAAAGAAATACAAAAATCAGCTCAAGAACTAGGGTGCGCGCAACAATTGAGACAGGGTCGAGATGCAATGCAACAATATTATTGTGCACAAAAAGTAGGTAAAAACGTTTTCGCTCCCCAAAATCGAAAGGAGCGAGAAAGGGGAGTTGTGTGTTTGTGTGTGTTCACGCACACGAGTAGAATGCAGAAATTTAGAGAGAGATATTGAAGGTAGAAGGCAACTAAAAAAGAAGAGGCATTATTTTCCTAGAATTTAATAACAGAAAGAGTATTGGGTTTGGCTACTAACCAAATTAATAATTCTTTAGTATCGACTCAATCACCAACCAATGAAATGCTTCTNTTGCCGCATATATGGATAAAAAATAGTTAAATAGTGAGGGAATGAGAAATTTGTTTTTATTAGTTAAAAGAGCCAAATAATTTGTGAGCGCTTGGCTTGTTTTCATACTTGTGCAGTTGTGCTGCAACTTGTTCGGAAGATGAGCTGTGATTATTATTATTAATTTATTATTTGTTCCTACTGAAGCAATCAAACGTATTTTTTATTATAATTAATTTTAGAGATAATAATGACAACAGAATTAATCTTTCATCGCTCTAATTATCCAAAAAAAATTCAAATACTTCAATGACTTTAACTTCTCTATTAATTGTACTTGTTATAGAACTAGAGGAAAAAACTAGAGGGAAAGAGAGAGACAATAATGCTAAGGAGTTGGCTCTTTAGCATTATTGAAGTGAGAGAATAGAGAAAATGTATTTTCTTAATATGTTTTCCATTATAATCTCTTATATATAGAAAAACTTTTGATGAACAATCGTAATAATACAATTACATTGGGGGGCAAAATATTGATTCACATATATAGATATTAATTGAGTTTATGGTTCATATTTCATAACACTCCCCATTGAATGACTATTTTCTAAATAAATCTAAATTATTGGAATAAAGTCCAATTCGAACATCTTGAAGTGTAGCTTGTAGTCATCAAAAACCTCTTTGCTTCAGCATGTCAAGAAAATCTGGTGGGACAAAATCTAAGCATTGTGGAAACATAACATTATTTCCCATCAAACATATCATCTTTAGTGGAGTATCCATGTACTGCCTCATTAAAACCTTGTCAAGAAAAGTAAACTCAGTGGGAAAAAACTCGATCTAAGGAAAAAGAGTATAACAACTCGAGTCTCTTCTTATCATCATGAGGAATTATATCATTTAACCTCTTGTCCTCAATATACCATCAATAATGTCTCTTTAAAATCTTATTGAGAAAAACCCAGTGGGAGAAAATCCTAATGAACGAGAAAAATAGTACACTGTTCATGTGAATATGCCATCGTTGTTGCCTCATCAAAAGTATTGCTGAGAAAATCCAATGGGACAAAACCTCAACCAAAGAAAAAAGAATACAACATGTATTCCATATATTAATCATAACAACATTTCCACAATTTGTACGAGTATCATATAGATTTATTCATTCAGATTTTCAGATACTGATGGCGTTCATAATAATATATCATATCATATTTATTAAATTTTTCGTTTTAAATTCATTCTCATTATCAGTTTTCAATGGTCTCACTGCCAATTGTTTTCAAAATTCACATTAAGTTGGTTTTATTCTCATCAATATCATTTATAGCGCTATTTATTTGTTTGTGTCGACATTTATTCATTTCCATTATTACCCATATTAACATAACATTCTGATATACCTTTTTCTCAATTAATTAATAGTATAATTGTCCTGATTACATACTTTCCATCAATAGTATATACCTCCTTTCATCACTTATAAATTTGAAAAATTTCAATTTGTACAATACCAAAGCTTCCAGCGTGTTATTCCACCATCATATAATTCACCACCATCAGTATCATTAAGTTTATGATCTTCATACTTTCAATGTCATGCATTTATAAATATCATTTACAAACTTCAATTCTTGAATCTTCCCCTCATCTTAACAAATCTATATAAAACTTCGCTCACATATCTGATTAGTGTTAAATTTATTGAGAGGAGTTCATATTGTTTCTATTCCATTCTCGATTTCAAAATATAATAGGAAGACTTTGAACTCATATCACTTATAATGTGCACATTAATATTTCAAGATCTCATTCATATCAGTTGAGTATATTACTAGTTTTATCACTTTCATATGACATTTATTTTCATTCTTTCATAACTATCTCGAACTTCAAGTTACCTGTCATATACACATTATTTGATCAAATCATCTTGCAACTTCAGGTTATGTGTCATATACACAATCTTTAATCAAACCATCTCGTAACTTCATGTTACGTATCATATACACATTCTTTGATCAAACCATCTTGAAACTTTAGGTTACGAGTCACATACACATGTGGCTATCTAGTGGATCCATAATATCTAGTAGCACATATGAAGGGGTAGTGGGTCCATATATATCGTACCCCTTTCATACTCAAATTCATCAAATATCGGTTCCCCAAATATTTGACTAGTAATAATTTTCACTAATCGATAAACAATTAATACCATTTCATATCACAAAGAATAACATCATCTTTCGGCAGCATTATTGTACGTTAAGTGTAGACTTCGGCACACAATCTTTTAGTCACTGTTTAAATCTAGAGTCGTATCGTACACTTCTATAAATTAGCAGGTACTTCATGCAATCTTCCTTAACAATTGTCCAAATTTTTAGATGGATTTAGCACTCCCAAATATCTGCAAAATATTATCCATTTCTTCCAATAAAATATTATAAGAAGGATTTATCGATCTTAATTGGAAAGAATGAGGGTGCTAATGAATAAGGCTATTCCAAATGATGTTCGATGGTTGATTTTAAAGCACAAGTTCAAATATCTATAGAGTTTCCAATTTTATATAAATATATGTCAGGTATGGGTAAAAGTACTTTTGCAAAGAAACGAAGAGCAAAAGGAATAGGTGGGTGCTTCAAATGCATTCGATGGACTTATGACACATGATTTAAACTTGTGGGATTCGCGTCCAAAAATAGAGAAAATAAAATAGCATTTATAAGGGATATATTGAGTAAATAGTCTATGGATCAAACAATTCAATAGATTATTGAGACACATCCTTGTGGATATGTGCATCGTAAGCTTATATCTTTATGGATTCCGTTCAAAAATGAAGAAGAACGTTATAGTCTCAAAAATTTTCAAAAGATAAAGTTTGTAAAACTGGTCTTATTAGTACGAAAAAACATATTAATACAGTTTAGTATGGTGTAATTTTATTTTACAGAGAATCTTATAGCTGCAGATAAGATTTATTTAAAACCCAACGCCTTATATGTCGGTTGCAATTGTCAGAATATAATAGTAAAATCATTTATTATTTCGTTAAACTTTCCTTTTAAATAGTGAGTAATTCATCATAATCATATATCTTACAAAATTTTGAAAAATTAGTTTATCAAGAAATAGATGGATATTTCAAAGCCTTCGCAAGGTAAGACCAAGGTCTCCCGCACGCGTGCGCGCCACCCTACGCGTGCGTGCTGCCTAGGCGCCTGAAGGTCTCGCGCTGCTACTCTCGCCTGGTTGTTGTCCACGCATCCTAGTCCTATCGCGTGACATCTGCGGGTCACGCTCGTGCTCGCGCGCGTACCTGCGCGCATCCTATCCATTTTGTAGTTGCGACTAATTTTGCTGGGGTCGCGAGTGTTCCACCTGCCCTATCCGCCTGCGCACCGTCTTGCGTGTGTATGCGATCTCACGGTTCCCTGTGCGAGTCGACCCGTGCGAGTGCAGTTGCTCTGAGTTTTCTCGCACCCAGTGCATTGGGTCTTGGCAGCGACCCGAGCCTCTCTCGTGCATGCACGTTGAGACCGATCATGGGTGTTTGAAGGCACAAAACCCACATTCGCATCATTTCCGCCCCCTTTAAGCACATCCTTGTCCTCAAGGATCAGAAAATACTGCTTGTGTATGCTCCCTTCGTCCACTAGCTCTAAGCTCCTTAGCTCCGCGCCTTTGGCACCATTTCTAGGTTCGGTCTGTAGCATGATAAGCCTATTTTCCTAGTAGAATTATCCCCTTCTTTTAATTTGTTTTGACTTCCCCAAGTCCTTTTTACCATTGTACTCCAAAAATTATATCGGGCCTTGCTAACAGTAATGAATAGATGTGGGTCTTTATAGTCTCGACTTGAAGATTGATGGGTACCTCTCGATAATACCCACGACATTGTAGTTGTTCCCCGTTGGTGACTCTTACCTCAAACAGCTCCACCCTAGTCTTCGGAAACTTCAACGCGTCAGATAATATGGCACTAATAAAATTGTGGACGACCCGGTATCAACTAACACCTCGATCGATTGTCCTCGAACTGAGGCTTGCAACTTAATGGTTCTCGGCCCATGCATTCTTGACATTGCATTGACAAAACTTTCCATGTCCTCCTTGATGTAGTGCCTCGTTTTATCCTCCTCGGTCTCCTCGTCGTCACCCTCAATGGTGTACAATTGTTGCTTACACTGATGTCCCAATGCAAATTTCTCGTTGCATCGGAAACATAGCCCCTTGCTTATCCAGTGTTGCCTCTTCTCTTTGGACATTCGTTCTCGGCTTGTTGTCGTTGAATTTTTTTCCTTAGACGTGCTATTTGAGTAACCCTGCGGCTCCGTGCATGGCTTGCTATCGCGCGCGTACGAATGGCCAACTTGTGCACCGCAACCAAGTGGTCGTCGCGCGTGCGTGCAGGCTCCATGACCTCCCGCAAGTTCCTTGACCTCTCAAGCCTAACCTCTGTGGCAAGATCCGGCTTAAGGCCTCTGATGAACGTGCCTATGAGTGCTCGCTCTGGCCAACCGCATACATGACTAGCTAGGTGTTTGAACTCCTTTTGGTAGTCCTTTAGGCTACCCGTTTGCCTAATTTGTGTCAAGGCCTCGTCAAAATAATAATACTCGGACGATCCAAACCTCGTGATCAGCCCCTTTTCAAATTGCTTCCACTGCAATCGCTTAAATTTTTTTTCTTATAAAAGTGCGAAATCCAGTTCCACCATGTATTTGCCTCTCCATCAAGATAATACGCGACGTACTTAACACGTTCAGCCTTTGAAATCTCATTGAGGTCAACATATTGAGTAGCTCGACTCAACCATGATCTTCTCCCTTGAACGTGGAAAGAACAAGCTTCGGTTTTTTGGACCTTCGCTCTCTATGTCGACGTGAACTCCTTGACCCCCGTAATTGGTCGTTTTTCTTGCCTTCATCCTCTCTCTCCTCATCCTCCGAGGATGAATATTACTTCGAAGATGACCAGGACT